CCCCTCCCCCCCCCAAAAAAAGAGGGATAAAAATTGAAGAGGCATAAGATATTTCACAGTGATGCCGTGTCACATGTTTTCATCTGATCAGAAGGCCTAATTGTGACCGGCAAGAGGAACATTTTTCAATTTGAACGGTCGAGTTTTAATCGCAGCTCCACATCAGCACCCTAATCAGTGAGTCTTTGAGGCTGAAATGTGTTACTTAAACTGTGAAAAGCAATCAGAAATACAAGTCTGCTTTTTACTGAGAATCTCGAAACTTTCTATTTAAATGTCAGGGCCTACAAACTGGTGCCTCTGCTGGGTTTGAAGAGGGAACAGCAGGACTGATTGAGGGTAGTGCTGCACAACCTGTTCCACTTCAGGATTGGGAAAAGAAAGAACAGATAAAAAAAGTCTTTGCCTCTAAATAAAAGCTAAAACTTCACTACTGTACCAACATTCATTTGGCCTTTTAACAAGTGGTCTTTGGAGTTTATAAAATATCTCTCAGGCTCCACAAGTTTCCACGACCAAAAAACAAGAAGAAAAACCTGAAGAAGGCAGAAGTGAAAAACAAACAGCATACAGTAATTTCTATTTTCTACACAGTTTCTGATGGATGCGTGCACATATGACACACTGGGAAACTTAAAAAAAATAAATTGCACTTTTTTAAAACAACCCACACATTTACATCAGACTAATATAAAAAGGCAATCAAAGTATTTTCATAACCATCTGACATCATCAGGCTTACTTTGTCCTTTCACCCTAAATCGTCAGACATCTTAGAGTCCGTGCTACACCATCACATACCGCTGCATTCAGTCTTTATTTGAGCCGCTGGATTAACGTGTGCGTCAGTCCCAGGCTGAGCAGCTGGAGGGTGGACAGCTGGGATAAGTGAGGGAAAGTTTTCAGCAGTTTCTCCCAGGTCATTTCCAGCAGGCTGGGAACCACCAGCCACACTTTATACAGAGAGCCAGTCCTTCGATTCCCAGACATGTTGACGACTCCGCCGTGGACGTACATGCAGCCGGCCTGAAGGAAAAGGAACACCAGAGGATGAAATCTGAGTCTACTCTATGATGATTTAGTTTTTGTTCTCTCAGTGTGCGATGGTACTGACCGGAGTGACCGCAGCACAGTGAAAGTAAGCTGGCTCCGGCATGATCGCAGGAAGCTTTGTCCACTGAAAAGTCTGCAGGTTGAGCTTCCAGAGGTCTGACAGGATGCGCTCTCCGTTATAACCCCCACATATAAACACCTCTGCACATAAAAAGAGGCATGAAGCAGAAACATTTCAGAGAAAGCCCGTTTGATGATGTCGTGTGAAACACTCACCCTCTTTGACCTGTACACAGCTGTGACATCGACGGGCGGCAGGATATCCTGTGAGAAGAAAATTAAATGAATTTGACTTGTGGCAGTCAAAACGCTTTACCGCTGTAAATAAAAGTTGAACATGAGTCAAACCTATTTTTTCTTGGGGTTTCGTCATGATATCCTCCCAGTAGTTTGTCTCCAAATTATAAGCATGAATCTGATTAACACAAATAACCTTAATTTAAAGACAGGCCGACAACAAGTTTGCATGCAATGGTGTTTAAGTGCCAGTTACTCTCACCTTGTCTAGTGGATATGATGTCCAGGAAGTCCCGCCTCCAAAAATATACATTCTCTGCCCGTCATGAGCTAGCTCATGTCTATATCTGCGAAATTATTGATTCATTTTCAGAAAATCTGGAGCCACATGTAGAGAATTCACTGTGTGTTTAACAAAGTGTGCCTACTGCTTTTAGCTGTGTATGAATGACCTAAGGTGACTGACCTCTCCTCAGGTAGGTCTGAGGGCGCGTTATTGGGTTTGATGTGGGTCCACTCCCTGGTGGTCAGGTCCAGCCTGTGCAGGTCGGTGCTGTAAAGGTAGCCCGTCGTCCCTCCAAACACATAAAGGTAGCCATTTATGATGACCATGGCCTGGAAAAGGAGGATAAATGGTTGTAACAGATGGGATGGGACAGAACATTCAAAAGGACCTCATACACAAAAACCGTTACCTGTCCATAGATCTTGTTGGGCTTCTTCCCTCTGCAGCTGAGCAGGTTCCATCGTTTGTACTGAACGTTGCAAACGTGGACGTCGTTGCCGTTGTTTTCACCGAATGGAATCCCGGTGCCACCGAACACAAGCAGGTTGTTCCCATGTAGGACAGCTGGGGAAAGATAACAGCATCAAACTCTGTTTTGTTGATTAGGAGTGAAGTTTGGGAATAAAAAGAAACAACAAAACCCTGAATGTTTTGTACAGGAGTCTTCTGTCACACAAAACCTATAGGAAATCTGAGTCAAAGTGTTTTCTAGATCTCATCTCGCATGAATGATGTAAAGTCATGTTGAGCCAGAAAAGAATATTCCTGTCACGAAGAAGAAGCTGCAATCAGTTTTTGGCAAAGTGACTTTTATATATCTTTTATGTATCCAGCCAAAACGTTTCTATGATATTAAAAATGTATATTTTTTTTTAAGAGTGATCTTGCCAGGAGGGCAACAGACAAATAACATAGCAGTTGTATAAAAACATTAAAGTCGATACAAAGGACTGATTATAATGTAGGTACAAAAAAGCCAAGTCACAAAGATGCTTGCAAAACGGGTCATTTCCTTATTTAATACATAACCTTCATAAATCCTGAGACTACACTACAGTTTATTTACCAATAGAACCAACACACACACACACACACACACACACAGAGAAAATGCATAAACATTGGAAATCACTTTGACACAAAACCAGAAAGACATTAAAGTGCAGGGCACGGCAGCCGCCGTCAGGTCATTTTTGGCTCACGTCCGTTAGTGAGACACACTGGCGCACACAAACCAGGCTCAGTGGTTCTCAGGCAGTCTCATCTTGATGCAACACAGTGAATCATCATGCAGACTTCTGTCCTCTGAATACTGTAGTTTTTTTTTTTATCCCAGAAGAGACACCTCTGCTAGCTTTGCTTTCTCTGCTAGTGCCACCTAGTGGTGAGGCTACAGATTTCAACCAACTAAATGGCCTTCACTGCACACTTCTGCCTATGCTGTGGAAACATGACAACACAATGTAGTGTTGAGGTGGACCTCCCTCTTATATGGACTAATTCTAAAAATAAATCTGAATACATTTATGCCAAAAGGTCCCCCTAAAGTCTACACAACAGTCAACTGTGACTACACAAATAATGAATTACAAACCAAAGAGTTGAGTTTTTGCAGGACTTTGCATCTGTTTGTTGACTAAACAAGGATAAAACTTTAGTTATCAGATAAAAGTATGAACTTGAGAAATATCATTTAGAGCAGAATATTTTATTTTTATTGCTAAAAAAAAGACATTGCTATAAAATGTCAGAATCCACACCTAAATTAACTGAGCTGTAAATTGCAACCAAAAGTCTCACAACTTGCTGAGAAATGCAGGCCAGCTTCTAGCCTCAAATGTGATGCGTCCTAATTTATTTGTGTGAGTTCAAGAAGAAAAAAAAAAGAAAAAAGTGCAGGGGTGAATTTAGAGCTGCTTTTCAATAACAGCTAGACTAACCACATGTGCTCAGTGTGTATTGCATAAATGAAGGCAGGGGTGTGCATACAGCCTTTAGAATATGCTGATAAAAATACTGGAATAAGTCAAAAAATATTTTCATCAATCCAGCAGAACCACATCACATCATTTGAATACCAAGGGAATAAAAATAAAAGCAGCATCAGTCCTTACCTGACATAGAAGCCAGCTCCGTGGGCATGTACCCCTCTGTGCGGACCTGCTGCCAGGATGCTGTGGCAAAATGATACCGCCAGAGCTCCCTGAACAGAGGGTAGTCTTCGTTCTCTGAGCCGCCTGCCTCATCAAAGTCTGGGTTGTAGCCTCCAAACACATACAGGTTGGTGCTGTCTGCTACACAGCGGTGTCCACTGCGGGCAGGAGGAATGCAGTGTCCTGTGGGGGGAGGAGGAGTTTTAGACAGACACCATCAGTCTCATCGCCACACACCACCATGTAAATCATCACGCAGACTTCTTTCTCCCCTCTGAATAGTTCTATTAGGAGCAATATAACACTTCTAGCTTTGCTTTACAGGACGTTAACTGCAGCTCCTGCACTTTGAATTCTAGTGTTTATGAGTTTAGACCGTCCAGTGTGGTGTCTGTGCAGGTTTAGTACCTTCTCTCAGAAACCTGTTGGGGATCCGCAGGTTTGGGCAGGAAGGGGAGAAGATGCGCCGGGCCTGAAACCACCGTGCTCGCTTCTTAGTGGCTGCAAGATATACAGAGAAAAAGACAGATTCATAAACCAATTCTCTCATGTTCTTGTCAGGGGTTGAACTAATTAGCTACCGCTAACTACCGTTTCATTTTAACTTCCAAAGGGACATTTCTTTCCCCTTTTCACTACAGACCAATTACAGGATCTCACAGATTGCTGTGAGCAGCTGGTGTTGTTGTCCATGATCCTTCTGTCATGGAAAAGATTTTCTGGAGCTCCTGGACGATCATTTGATAGCTCAACCGCCGTCACACCTGTTTATTTTACTTCAACCACACTGCAGGCTTTACAAATGTTGAACAACCACAGTCACGTATATTCAGCCAAGCGTCACACTTCCAGCAAACCGAGGCTGATGTTTCTGGGACGATCCCAGTAAAAACCGTAGAAGTATATAAATACAGTCATCGTATACTCCGATAGTTCTTTTATTTTGTTTTTAAGCCACAGCTATTGTACTTCCTCGGTGAATCAAGATACTCTGTGCACTGCTACACTCAGAGAAATCAGGATTACAGGTGTAACCTCTCTCATTTTCTATTCTTAAGTATGCTTTGTGTAACCGAGAATCCACTTCATGTATGGGAGAGCTTACAGAATATGAAAACCATTGCTGTGCCTTTGTCTTTCATTTCCATTTAAATGGGAACATAAGCAACAATAACACTGAAATATTCAGTGGCTGATTTCTGCTGGCTTCCGTAGCAACGTTAGCAACATTTGGCCTGTGTAGCTGCTGTAGCGATGCAGAATGCACACAAAGCTAGTATGGCTAGCTCACAGACAAAGCCCAGCTAATGCAAATGAGCAGCCAGCTCTGCCCAAAGAGGCAGCGAGCTCTGAGCAGCATTACCAAGTATTTACATTAACTTCTCAGGAAGGCTTGCTGATTGGATCCAGCTGCAGAGCAGTCGCCTGTGTTTACAAACCTGAGTCGCGGATGGAGGGCCTCCACGACAGTTTCTCAAACTTATTGAGCTGACTGAAAGTTTCACCGTGCTCAGGCGAAGACATGATTAACCTGGGACACGCCGACCGAAGAGGCTCACACCCAGACCCGGACAGGAATCCGCCTCAGTGCAAACAAACGGCGCGACATGAAACCACCAGCTCTGGCTTCAGAGCAAAATAAAGAAATATGCTAACTCTTCCAACTGTCCACAGCTGCTGCTGTCCGAGACGTCATAGCCACGTGGTCTGAACTAACCAATCAGAGGAGAATAGGACGCTCAAGTGGCGTTCAAGAGTCACATGGAAATGTTTATAGTTTTGTTAAAGGGCCTCGCCGCAATAATCAATAACAAATAAATAAAAGAGTCGGTAACAACTGACGTGAACGTCAATACCCTTTGTTTTGAATGAATATGGCTTATCAGAGATATATATTTGTAGTTTTGCATGTTTACCTTATATTATATACTTAATGCACATACTAGCCATTAAAAACAACTGTGGTTTTAAACTTGAGGGATTAATAAACGTCTATCAAGTGAAATACAGACTTTTTTTCACAGTAGTGTAATTTTTTTTATGTAAATCCCCAGATATTCAGAGGTTCATATGTACGGAGCCCCCCAGGGGACATGGGAGAAAAAAAATTGGGGAGGAAAAAAAAAAATTAGGGAGGAAAAAAAAATTAAGACGGACTTTTGCGAGATCTCGCAAAAAAATTTTTTTTTTTCCTCCCTAATTTTTTTTTCTCCCATGTCCCCTGGGGGTCTCCGTAGTTTTTAGTTAGATGAAACTCCTGTGTCGGAAATCATTTTTGGACATCGCAAAAAGTCGTCCTTTGGGATGCTCTGATAGGCCTTTACAGCAGCCACCTTCAAATCCTGTTGTCTGTGGGTCTTTCAGTAACTGAAAAGCACGCTCCATTGAGTTAAGAACATGTGACTGACTTTGAGATTGAAGAACGTTTATATCTCGAAGAAACTCTTGCTTTGCTTTTGCAGCATACTCTAGGTCATTATCCATTTGCACCGTGAAGCTTGGTCTGATCGGTTTTGCAGCATTTGGCTGAATCTGAGCAGAAAGCGTAGCCCTGTACACTTCACAATTAATCCTGCTACATTTATCAGCAGTCATGTTATCAATAAACACTGTCTTACTGTCTCCAACACTAACAGATTCTGTGGTTGTTTCAGATCATGAGCTATTTCCCTCCTTCTCCATACTTTTCTCTTTCCATCAGTCTGATACAAGTCAATTTTAGTTTTATCAGTCCAACAATTTGAATCAGTTTCCACTTTCCTGTAAACCCACTGTGTTTCTATTCATGAATTTAAAAAATAATGTATCAATATAAGGAGCTAAAACAGATGCAACACCTAAACAGTTACTTCAATGCTTTTGTTAAAGGCCTTGAATAAAAGCTGAAATTCTGCATGTCAATCATATATTGATTACATTATTTGTTTGTAAACACATGGATCTAAGTGTATTAAGAAATTAAAAAGTGACAAACTTTGTTTATGTCTTCCAAGCTACAAAGGATAATTAACACATAACTTAAATAAGGGATATTTGAGCCAAACACGTGGTTGGAGTAACTCCTTTTGATCAGCTGTACCATGAGTCAACCTTTCGCCCACATCTTTGGGAGCTGCAATGCAGACATGTTATAATCTGGATTTGAAGCTCACTGGGAGTTGCAGAAGGAGCAAAACAAACGCATGACTAGCCACTGTTGTTAGGATGCCTGGGTCGTTGACCCAGGGTTTTTGAGTTTATTATATTATTTATAATTTCTAGTCTTTGGGTTTTTGTTAGAGTCATGTCTTATGGTTTGTCTCTGTGTAATCCTTAGTTGCTGTCTCCCCTGTCCGCTATATCCCCGTGTCCAGTCAGTGTCTGTGTCTGCCCTGGTCCCACGTCTCTGTTCCCTCTGTTGTAGTGCCTGCATGTGAGTCTGTGTCTTTTGTTCAGTCTGTGTTATGTGTTTCCTGTTTTACTTTGAAGGTCTCTGTCTTATCTCAGTGTGTTCGGTTTACGCTTCCTTGTCTCGTCAGTTCTGATTTTCCCCAGCTGTGTTTCCCTCCTGCTGTCCATTCCCTGATTGCTCCCTCTGTGTATTTAAGCCCTGTGTTTCAGTTTTTCATTTGTTGTGATCTATGCTTATCTACCCTTATCTTGCTGTGTGTGCTGGCTGCGTAGGTGTATTTTGTATTCTTAGTTTTGTTACCCTTTTGAGTTCAGCATTAAAGCTGTTTTGAGTTACTTTCTGTCTCCGGAGTCTGCACTTTGGGTCCTTTTCCTGCCTGCACACAGCCGTCACATAACAACTGTAGCTTGTTTACATGGACCATGTGTAAATAAACATAGACTTAGAATTGTAATAATTGCTAATTCTCACAGTGAGTAATGATCTGGAAAAGATCAACACCCTCTTTTGTTTAAGGTACAAGCGCAAATACAGCAGGCATGCCCAAACCCTGTTAAAATGCAAGAACCTTTTGAGACAAAGGTTTTTACACCTGATCTCTTTTTATGGGACAGCTACTCCCAATGCAACAATTAATCAAACAATCCTTCTGCTGGTGTTTTACAATGTTCACTTGTTTACAGACACGTTTTTTCTCATCTGAAGCTAAAATATTATCACAAAGAGTACATTCAGAGCTCACCTAGAGGCAGAAAGATTCTCAGCCACTGTTGGTCTCATAATGTAACACAGACTGTCCAAATAACCCTTGAACAGACTGGCGGCAGGTAGACAATGAAGGGAGTCTGTGAAATGTCACAGACAGTAAGAAATTCCTGAACAATGAGCCACTGCTGTGTTAATGAGATCAAACAGGAGATGAGTCGGCAGCTTTTTGTTGCTTGCTGTGATCTACTTATTGACTTACAGAGGTCAGGACGTGAGATCAACCAGCTTGAAAACTGATTAGACTTACTGGAAGATGCACCACATTGATGACATTTCTATGTTCCTCCATGTAAAGATGAAAGATAACTGAACTATCCAACTGGATGATGTTGTCAGAGTGTCTGCTAGTCTTCTGAATAAGTCAGGCTAGACAAAGTGCTGCTTTATTGTGTTACACATGAATATGTCATATGTATCAATCATAGATGAAGTTTAATAAGCTTCTATCAGAGCATGATTTCAATGGCTTACTTCTCTGTTTCACATGATATACAACAGACTTCAATGATCTGTAGTTCTGTATGCAGATGCTAAGAAATATAAAAATATAGTAACAATGAAAGTATAGTCTAACTTAGTTAGATGAAAGATTTATCAGCACATCAGAAAACATGACGTCTGCATGTCTTTATCAGACCCTTGCATCGTTGTGGAAGAATTTTCGCCCACTCTTCTTTACAGCTTCTTTCATTCGTGCACAGCTCCCTGAAGCTCCTGCCAAAGCCTGCCTTTTCTTTTTCAGTCATTCTGTTGCAGATTTGCTGCTGCTGTGGTATCCAGAGGAGTTCGTGGTCAGCTCAACGACAGCAACCTCTGGTTTTCTTGCTGGAAAACAAGCCTAAATAAAGTTTTGTTAAACAAATAATGTGTCATATCCTGGAGATCCTAGAGAGGGATAAAATTATCTTTCAGTTTAACCTTTGGTAGGGTAGCTGAAATAAGTCAAAACATATAAACCAAAACCAAAAGTCCACTACAGAGGAAATAAATGATTTTAGGAGGATGTGCTGTTGTTCAGTTGAGGTTGCATTTAAATAACCTTATAACCTGGTATGGAGGAGATTACTTTTTAAAAAATATATTAAACCTTAGCAACCTTTCTCACATCACTATATTAAAGCACAGCTGGCACAACACATTTGTGGTGAGGTGTTACCAATAATGGAAACAATGAGTTAATACAAAACCAGAATGAATCAGTGATCAACTTGATATTCAAAGGCATCTATGGATAGATTTCTGAGTGCAGATGTCGCTGTGCAAATATGTCTCGCTGGTGCATAAAGACACATTTTTATCTCTTTTATGTCTGCGCTAGATGTCTGCACCTTTTTAAACCTCACCTTTGACCATCTGTGTTTACAGCGAGTGTGCTGTCCTTCACACAAAATGTCATACATGCCAATCTTTAAAACAAGAAATTATGGACAAGCTGATCTTTGTTTAGCACTGCTTGAAAGGTTTCATGTGCAATGAATGTTCGTGAGAGTGCAACAGAATAAAGTCAGATTCTGAAACAAATGGTGCTGCCATATTTTGTGAGGTGAAATATGGCAAAAGTAGTTGTGGGTGCTTATGAGTCTAATAAGAGACTGAATAAATCTAAAGATGGGCTGAATTTGCAGACAGTCAACTGTGCAAGTTTAGTCCAAGAGCAGACAGTTTAATGCAAGAAAAAGTAATCGCCACCTAAACCTCATAACTGTTTGTACCATCCTTGGCAGAGAGGAGTTTTTGTGATAACTGCCAATGGGTCTTTCACATGATCGTGGAGGGATTTTGTCCCAATCTTCTTTGCCTAATTGTTTTAATCTGGGTACATTAGGTTTTTCAGCATAAACATCCTGTTTAAGGTCATGCTAAGGCATCTCAATCAGACTTAAAACCAGACTTTGCTGAAACTACTCCAAAACCTTTTTGCTTGTTTGTTTGTTTTTGTGTTTTTGCAGCCATTCAGAGGTGCAGTTGGTGGTGTGTTTCTGGTGGTTGTCCTGCTACATAACCCAAATGTCCTTGACCTTCAGGGCATAAACTTTTCTGGTGGAGAGCAGAAATCATGGTTCCAACAGCTAGTCATCCCGAAGCAGCAAAGCAGCCCTGGAACATCACATTACCACCAACATTTTTGACTAATGATGTGATGACCTTTTTATGAAATGCTGCGTTAGTTTTCTGTGTTACTCTGGATGGCATTACCTTGGCCTCCAGTAACACTGTAAGGAACCTTGGAGTCATTTTTGACCAGGACATGTCCTTCAATGCACATATTAAACAAATATGTAAGACTGCTTTCTTCCATTTGCGCAACATCTCTAAAATGAGAAATATCCTGTCTCAGAGTGACGCTGAAAAACTAGTTCATGCATTTATTACTTCCAGGCTGGACTACTGTAATTCATTATTATCAGGATGTCCAAAAAACTCCTGAAAAGCCTTCAGCTAATCCAAAATGCTGCAGCAAGAGTCTGACAGGGACTAGAAAGAGAGAGCATATTTCTCCTGTTTTGGCTTCCCTTCATTGGCTTCCTGTTAAATCCAGAATTGAATTCAA